ACTTGTGTGTTATACAGTAATAGTCTCACCTGCTCTTACTCTGACATCCTTACTCCGAATGATTCCAAACTCGTTACTGACTATGCACTTGTACTGAGTGAAGTGGACATCTGGCCGATAATCACTGGGTTGAAATGGCTTAATCACTAATGATCCATCTGAACTGATTTCTTGTAGTCTCCCGTGTTTAGCCACGTTTTGGTTCCCGATCATCCAATGGATACTAGGTGCAGGCTGACCATCAGCGCGGCAGGGTACTACCGCACCAGAAGTGTTAGTGAATTCTACAGCATCGGGCGGCTCATCAAGAAACCTGGGTCCACGAGTCACCAATTCAGAGATTGCTGAATGACCTGTAGTGTGTGTAGATATTATCAACGAAAATATTTAGCAGTAAATTCACTGGCTTCGCTTATATCTATAAGTTTGATATCTAATTACTTATCATAACAACAAGATAAAATTGGTAAGACTTCTGGAAAATCGAATGATCAAACCAGAGTAAATATATTGAAGCGAGTTCAAGCTAAGTATTTTAATCATTGGTATACCGAAGTAGTTATGAATATCTGTAATTTGGAGTTGAAATGGAGCAGGTGGTGGTTACTATTTTCCATATTAATACAAATTACCTACGTCTGACAGCTTAATTTTAATCCCAGAAGAATCTGTTACAAATATTTAAACTAAACGTCATACATAAAACGTGGATAGAAACTATAGTAAGGCACACAAAAAGGCTTACTCCACGTTAAAACAATTAATTTTAATGCCAAGTTTTCGGTCCTATTCTTAGGTCCGTCATCAAGCTAACTGAAGAATAGGACTGAATATTTGCTAATGAAATAATTTCGACGTCATGTAAGCCAGTTTAGTGTATTTTACTATCAATATTTAAGAATTTACAAACTTCTAATGATAAAATTTTCATCTTAAATGTACTCTTCATCTATTTTTGTGTACAGAGTTATGATCCAAACAAATGACAAGAGTATTGAGCTGCCCTTGTAGAACTGTTTTCCCCGCAAAACACATCGTTTATATGATAAAGGAGCCCAACCATAGCTCAGTTGAAGGTGACATTTTCAATTTGAACGACAAGTTATGCTCCAGTGGGCTAAGTGTCCAGGCCAAAGTTCCGGTTTAGCCAGACCTAATTTTCAGCAAGTTATAAGAGCGAAGACAGCCAGTTAAACAGAACTCACTTTCAAGAAGTAGTTTCCCGGCTCTTTCAACCGAGAAACGAGACATACCGTTACTTTTATATCGCGCCCACATCTGAAAGGACAAAGTTTTCAGAGGCATTGCATTGTGAACCCTGGACTTTTTGATACTCAGCCCGACACATTAACTAATAAGTCACGCCAAACTCACCGAATCTTAAAGACTTGGCCATATTTTTATATTATATTTACTAACATGAAAGAATATTTTGTTAATATACTACTGAAAACCTCCCATGATGCTCAAACAAACACACTAAATATCACCATTCAACAGCTAATAAAGCAGTTAAAAGATGCGGTCTTGATAAACCAGGAGATAAGTTCCTTGCTTAAAGATTACCAGTTACCTGCCTGCTAATAAAGCAGTTAAAAGATGCGGACTTGATAAACCAGGAAATAAGTTCCTTGCTTAAAGATTACCAGTTACTTACCTGCTAATAAAGCAGTTAAAATATGCGGACTAGAGAAACCTAGCTGGTAATCTTTAAGCAAGGAACTTATCTTTACTTACCTGCTAATAAAGCAGTTAAAAGATGCGGTCTTGATAAACCAGGAGATAAGTTCCTTGCTTAAAGATTACCAGTTACCTACCTGCTAATAAAGCAGTTAAAATATGTGGACTAGATAAGTTCCTTCTTTTAATTAATTTTCACAAACTTAAGCTATCTTAATACTCTATAGCTCAAATGATTTGGATTTGTTTTTGTTTTAATTTTAATTCTGAACTTTAAATTGAATAAGTGAGTTTACCACGAAAAAGAATTTTGAAGATAATTAAAAGGATTTCTAGTTCCTTACTCTATTATTGGTTAAATGAAACTTTAGGGGTGAAACATTACATCATCTTATGCAACTGCTTTAATATAGAAGCTCGTTGCGGAAGGAACAACGGTGTTTACATTAGATTAAAATGAAAAGAATATATCCAAATTTACACTTGTCCGAAAATTATGAAAAAGCTCACGATAAGGCCTAAGAAGGAATCGAAAAATAAAGAGATTATTTGTTTATGTAGTTTTAACGAGAACAATAAATAGATGTGCATTAAAGTAATACCATTTATTTTACCTAGATATCCAAACTTTAGGTAACAACGTTTCGTGTTTTTTGAACTCGAAAAAAGATAATGCTTTTGAAAATTTCATATATTTTCGCAACAACGAAGATAAATTTGATTCTCCTAACATCTAAAAAAAGTTTTATTTTGTACTGCAAAACATTCAATGTGAGAAAACATTATCCCTAATCTCTTCTTTCGTTCCAACAGCTGTTTCCTCAATGGCATTATGCTTAACTTTGTTTCATTTCCAATGTGCCCTTTTTGACGAAAATAAAATATAGCGATCAGTATGATAGCTTCTCTAACATAAGTGAATAATTCATCTCCTTCATATCCTCACGGACGTTGAAAGGGGAGGGAAAAAAAAAACGCAACTGAGAGCTGTTTATCAAATAAATGATACATCTCTGTTCCTAGGCATTTGAAAATATGAATTATAATTAATCTCAAGCAGTTTGTACCTATCCGTTAGATTCATTATTGACAATTAAAGTGGCCATCCATAAACGACAGGAAAAAGACTTTATTGTTGTACAATATGAATGATATTTTCTGTTTTACTCCATTGTAACTACGTCATGTAACAATATAGACTATTAAACAGTGACTGCTCTGCTTGATTTTTTGTTGTCTGGTTATTAAGCACAAAGCTAAAACACTGGACCATCTGTGCCGTGCCCACTGCGGGTATCAAAACTCGAATTTTAGCGTTTTAAGTAGCGAGATGTACCGCTGAGTCATCGGATGATATTAAATAGAGATTTAGAAAATTAATATATATATACATATAATTAACGGTGTATGTTAATCTAGAAAAGGACTTATTATACGCTTCTTTATCGTTTCCAAGAATACTTTATCCTGTGCACCAGTTCACACTTTAGAGGAGTAGACTGGGAGTTAGCTAGGTAACTAGATTCTGCCAAGCAGAAATTGTAGAAATTATAGTCTGCGCTGGACCGCCACAAATTGTGAAATGTCGTGAACATTGTTAAACGACGATCTCTTTATTTGTTATGAAGTATATTCAAAGCACGTGCTCCAAAAATAAATACAAAATGAAGTTTAACATCGACTTATAAGGCACATTTGAAACGAACACGTAACTTAGTTTATAATTAGGTAGAACTGCTCATTACATTAAAACACACGAACTTTCAGAAACGCCATATCTTGACTTGCAACGAACCATGTTAGAACATTCCTGTTGACCGTGTTAATCTCGTTAAGTAGTTACAGACATATGATGAAGAGATGGCGAGTAAAGCATAAAGGTACAGTTTAATTATAAGCATTATTGACAAAATAAAAAGTTCTATGTAATATGAATGTCATACAAGCGTAGTAGTATGACTGTTATACAGGCGTTGTAATATGACTGTTATACAAGCATTATAGTATCACTGTTATACAGGCGTTGTAATGTGACTATTATACAAGCGTTGTAATATGACTATTATACAAGCGTTGTAATAAGGCTGTTATACAAACGTTGTAGTATGACTGTTATACAGGCGTTGTAATGTGACTGTTATACAGGCGTTGTAATGTGACTGTTATACAAACGTTGTAATATGACTGTTATACAGACGTTGTAATGTGACTATTATACAAGTGTTGTAGTATGACTATTATACAAGCGTTGTAATAAGGCTGTTATACAAACGTTGTAGTATGACTGTTATACAGGCGTTGTAATGTGACTGTTATACAAACGTTGTAATATGACTGTTATACAGGCGTTGTAATGTGGCTGTTATACAGGCGGTGTAGTATGACTTATACAAGCGTTGTAATATGACTGTTATACAAACGTTGTAATGTGAGTATTATACAAATTTGTATAACAGTCATATTACAACGCGTTGTAATGTGAGTATTATACAAGCGTTGTAATATGAATGTTTTACAAGCGTTGTAATATGACTGTTATACAAACGTTGTAATGTGAGTATTATACAAGTGTTGTAATATGACTGTTATACAAGCATTATAGTATCACTGTTATACAGGCGTTGTAATGTGACTATTATACAAGCGTTGTAATATGACTATTATACAAGCGTTGTAATAAGGCTGTTATATAAACGTTGTAGTATGACTATTATACAAGCGTTGTAATAAGGCTGTTATACAAACGTTGTAGTATCACTGTTATATAGGCGTTGTAATGTGACTGTTATACAAACGTTGTAATATGACTGTTATACAGGCGTTGTAATGTGGCTGTTATACAGGCGGTGTAGTATGACTTATACAAGCGTTGTAATATGACTGTTATACAAACGTTGTAATGTGAGTATTATACAAGCGTTGTAATATGACTGTTATACAAGCGTTGTAATATGACTGTTATACAAACGTTGTAATGTGAGTATTATACAAGTGTTGT